GAACAACAGACTAATAAGCATGGAAAGCAGAATCAGCCAAGCTGAAGAAAGAATCTCAGAGCTCGAAGACCAAAACACAGAACTAACCCAAACTGTTAAAAGCATAGAAAAGAAACTCAAAAAGACAGAACAAAACCTGCAAAAGATGAATGATCACTTCAAGAGACCAAACCTAAGAATAATTGGGCTTCCTGAGGCAGAAAGAGAAACAGAAGCCACGCTGGAACAAACATTTCATGAAATCATTCAAGAAAACTTCCCTCATCTCATTAAGGATGAAAAAATTCAAACACAAGAGATTCAGAGAACCCCTGCAAGACAACAAACGAGAAGACCAACTCCCAGACACATAATAATTCGTCTAAACAAAGTAGCTATGAAAGGAAAAATCCTAAAGGCAGCAAGAGAAAAAGGCCAGACTACCTACCAGGAAAACTCAATTAGAATAGCAGCAGATTTATCCACAGAAACCCTTCAGGCCAGAAGAGCCTGGAGCCCTATCTTCAAAGTTCTAAAAGAGAAACAATTTCAATGAAGAATAACCTACCCAGCCAAACTAAGCTTCATTAGTGAGGGAGAATTGAAATCTTTTCCAGACATCCAATCCCTAAGAACCTACGCTACCACCAGACCACCTCTACAAGAAACACTTAAGAAAGTACTGAACACAGAAGAAAAAGAAAAAAGAACAACAGCATTTTTCACAGGAGTACAGGCAAAAGATTAAAAACACACATGAACCAACTCCAAAACCCAAAGAAAGACAACAAATAAACAGGATCAACTCTGTAAGAAACTTATGACAGGGATCAACTCTTGCATTTCAATTATTAGCCTAAATGTGAATGGACTGAATGCACCACTGAAAGGACATAGAATGGCAAAATGGATAAAATATCATCAAGCAACAATCTATTGCCTTCAAGAGACTCACCTCACTAGAAAGGACACCCACAGACTCAAGGTAAGAGGATGGGAAACAAACTTTCAGGTGAACGGAATACAAAAGAAAGGAGGAGTAGCGATCTTAATTTCAGACAAAATACCCTTTCAAGCTATTAAAAATCAAAAAAGATACAGAAGGCCACTACATAATGATAAAAGGCTCAATCCATCAACAAGAAATATCTATCCTAAACATATATGCACCCAACATAGGTGCGCCAACTTTCATAAAGCAACTTCTTGGAAAACTAAAGAAAGATATTGACTCTACCACTATCATAACTGGGGACTTTAATACCCCACTCACAAACCTAGACAGATCATCAGGACAAAAAATCAGCAAGGAGATCCGGAACCTCAATGTGACTTTGGACCAAATGGACTTAATTGATACCTACAGAACACTCCATCCAAAGACCACAGAATACACATTCTACTCATCACCACATGGAACATATTCTAAGATCGACCACATACTCGGCCATAAATCAAGCATAAGCAAATTTAAAAGGACCGAAATTCTACCAAACACCTTCTCGGACCACAGTGGAATAAAAATAAACATTGACACCAACAAAGTCCCCCCAAAACCCACAAAGACATGGACACTAAACAGCATGATGCTAAACAACTCCTGGGTCAATGATGAAATCAAAACAGGGATCAAAAGATACCTGGAAACAAATGAAAATGAAGAAACATCTTACCAAAATCTCTGGGATGCCCTGAAAGCTGTAGTAAGAGGGGAATTTATATCCCTACAAACACACATGAAGAAAATGGAAGGAACAGAAATTCACAACCTAACAAGCCACCTAAAGAAGCTGGAAAAGCAAGACCACAAAAACCCTAATTTCAGCAGAAGAATCCAGATCACCAAAATAAAAGCCCAAATCCAGGACATAGAAGACAAAAAGATAATACAAAAAATCAATGAAACAAAAAGCTGGTTCTTCGAAAGGGTAAACAAGATTGATGGTCCCCTAGCTAGACTGACCAAGAAAAAACGAGAAAAAAACCAAATAAGCATAATCAGAAACACAAAAGATGAAGTCACATCTGACCCTGAAGAAATACAAAAGATCATTAGAGACTACTATGTACACTTGTATGGAAACAAACTTGAAAACCATAAGGAAATGGAGGACTTTCTGACATCACACAACCTACCTAGGTTGGAACAAGAAGAAATTGAGACCCTAAATAGACCAATAACAATCAAAGAAATTGACTACGTAATAAGAAAGCTTCCTACAAAAAAAAGCCCTGGTCCTGATGGCTTCCAGCAGAATTCTACAAGACATCAAGGAGGAGCTGATACGAATCCTACTGAAGGTATTCCAGGCGATTGAAAAAGATGGAACTCTCCCCAAATCATTTTATGAAGCCAACATCACATTGATACCCAAGCC